AAAAAAACAGAAACAGAATGGTACAGAAAGTGAATCAGTGGGTAAATATGTTCCACCCAGAAGGCCATGATGCTCTCATGGACTAAGGCCAGCACCTCAGGAAGTGTTTTAACTCCTCATATTCATCTAACCACAGGACTCTCCTGAGTTTTGAAATACCTATCTATATAAAATACATTTCATAAATTATCATTTGTGTTGGGAGACCTTATCTGCATTTCAAAAAGATTATTTTAATGAAAACATTTATCATGGGATTGTTTGTCTAAAGAACTTGTAATGTAAATAGAATGGCAAAATTCATTATATCAACATTGCTTTTTAGGGAAAAAAGACTTGTTTTTTAAGTGAAGCATTATGAATTTAGATTATGTTTTATCAAACAAAAATAGCTTGACTATGCATTACATGATGTGTACCTGGATGACAGGAAGTGGCTGTGTATAATTCAGGTGATATTGCTGTTGTTTTAGGTCTGTATTATTTACAGAATTTGATGCAAGGAGTAGAGAATAAAATGAGATTCCTTATTAGCCCAATTTCTTTTCTGTAGTAGAGATGAGACCTCTGTTCATTTGAACCCTTTGCCTTATTCCTGTCTCCCATGTCCTTATCCAGACCTGGGAGAAAGAAAAGCAGAAACCAAGGCAGTTGTCATCTAGTTGATTCATGGTGGATCACTGAGTTTCAGAGGAGAATTGTGTTCCATAGGGTTTTCAATGGCTGTGATCTTTTGGAAATAGATCACCAGGCCTTTCTTCTGAGGCTCTTCTGTTGATTCAAACAGCTAACCTTTTGGTTAATAACTGGATGCTTAAAAAGGGGCAGTTTTATTACTTAGCATGTACTAGTTCATCTACCTAAAAAAAAAAAAAAAATGCCATTTGTGCCTATATCAATAGGATATAGATTTGCTCATTTTAATGCTTCAGGCTGAATGTTTTATAAATGTATTCTGTTTTTTCAGGCTATATTTTCTGTGAGTCCTGATCAAGTGTTACGAATGTGCTGCAATGGTGACATAAAATCTTGACTGAGACTGGGAAAGTCGCTGAAACACTATCTTTTCTTTTATTCTTTTATTTTTTATGGTGCTTCGATTGGGAACAGTCTGAGACAAGTATATACAACATGAGTTTTATCATGAAGCTTCACAGGCATTTTCAAAGGACGGTTGTTCTACTTGCCACTTTTTGTATGGTGAGCATCGTTATTTCTGCTTACTACCTGTATAGTGGCTACAAACAGGACAATGAACTCTCTGAGATGACTTCAGAAGTGGACTGTGGGGACCTTCAGCACTTACCATACAGGTTAATGGATGTAAAAACCACAAAGCCTTTCGATACCTCAAGGACAGACCCCATCATCCTGGTCTTTGTGGAGAGCCAGTACTCATCCCTCGGTCAAGACATCATTATGATTCTAGAATCAAGTAGATTCCAGTATCACATTGAAATCGCTCCTGGAAAGGGGGATCTCCCAGCACTTATAGACAAAACTAAAGGCAAGTATATTCTCATTATTTATGAGAATATTTTGAAGTATATAAATATGGACTCTTGGAATAGAAGTCTGTTAGATAAATACTGTATAGAATATGGTGTGGGTGTCATAGGATTTCATAAAACCAGTGAGAAGAGCCTGCAAAACTTTCAGTTAAAAGGTTTCCCTTTTTCCATATATGGAAATCTTGCTGTAAAAGATTGTTGCATTAATTCTCTTTCTCCACTGCTTCGTGTGACCAAATCTTCTAAACTTGAAAAAGGTCCTTTGCCTGGAACTGACTGGACAGTTTTTCAGATCAATCACTCAGCCTATCAACCAGTGATATTTGCCAAAGTAAAGACCCCAGAAAACCTTTCTCCTTCCATCTCTAAAGGTGCTTTTTATGCCACTATCATACATGATCTGGGGCTTCATGATGGAATTCAAAGAGTTCTTTTTGGCAACAACTTGAACTTTTGGTTGCACAAGCTCATCTTCATAGATGCCATTTCCTTCTTGTCGGGGAAGAGACTGACATTGTCCTTGGACAGGTACATCCTTGTGGACATTGATGATATCTTTGTGGGAAAGGAGGGAACAAGAATGAACACCAATGATGTTAAGGTAAGTCTTTATTATCTGAAAATTGTTTCAGATTTTGGTTAATCTCTCAGTAGAGTGACCAACCATCCTGGTTTCCTGAGAACTGAGGACTTTTCTGGAATGTAGAACTTTCATTGTTGAAAGTTAGAAAAGTTTCAGGCAAACTGGACGAGTCGTTCATCCTATTTTCTAGCCTTGGATCAACTAGGTAATTGATATCCTTCTCTCTAAAGCAAGAAAAATGAACAACAGACCAAAGAATTATGTATAGCATGATCTTGAAATGGTTCTGTATGTGTATTTTTTAAATAGATAAAGAGTGCAAATAATTTTATTTAATTCCTTT